TTAAAGGAATCTTCTGCTGGAACTAATGACGCGAGGGAAATCCGTTCAGGCAGGAAAGAAAGGATATTTAGGCCTCGGTTAAAATTTCATAGTTTAAAGGACTTCACAACCATTGATGGTCGCCGAGACTTTGAATAATTCCAAAGAAGCGAGAAGATCTTTACGTGCAGAGAGGATTGACCGATTATCCACCAGAAAAAGAAGGCAACAGTACAGCACTTTGCGTTTTTTCCCTCCTCCCTCCGAGGGAATATGCTATCGAGAAAAACGTGCATGAAATAGCACAGGACTGATGAACGGTAACTTCTTAATATAACCAGGCCGGCACCCTCATCGCCAGGCCTCGTTCTCGCACTTAATTGCTTTAACCAGTATAATTGATATAAATTAACCGGGCTCGCGTGGAGTATTCATCGTAGTCGCGGCAAGAATACCGAAGTTTGTTATTACCTATCGTAACTTTTCTCCAACGAGCGGGGTCCGACTTCCGGTAACCCGTTATGAATGCAGTATATAAAAGCGGTCGTATCCGTTGGTGATATATCGTTGGCTTACTTTCAAACTCCCCCGGCGTCGACAAAAATAAATTGGAAAATTTAATAAAAAAAAAAAATGAAAAAAAAATGAAAATAGAGGAAAGAAGAGAGCAGAGAGGAAACAAAGGGATGAAAGGCTGAGTGGAAACGGAAGGAGCGAGCTTGAAGGAAATTCATAATTGTGCGTCTTTGTTTAATGAAAAATGGAAGCGAGCCGCAGGGAGATTCTTTTAAAGAAGATGTCTTACTGTAATGCCTAAAATGTTACGTACATCTTCTCTTTGCGATCAAGGCGACTGTTGTACAAGAAAAGAGTACAACTTTTGTCAAGGGTACAATTGACATTGGAAAACCAGTCGTTTGTCTCTTGGTGAAGCCAAAGACTCGCTACTCGATATTGGATGAAAAATTCAAGGTGGGTGTAAAATTAAAATAGAGTTAAATCTTTGGAATCTTTTCGAAAACTTGTATATTTGGCTTGTACTATGTGATAACAAATAAAAGATCTTATTTTTTGTAGTGCGACTACGACGTACCATTGAATTATTGAGAACCTACTTTCATCGTAATATCACGTTTTATATCGCTATCAATACTCAACACCATTTCCTCGAGCAGTTTCGCTGACCACTCACTCCACTATCCTCTATCTGTTTCACAGCGCGGGCTGTTTTTCTTTCCGGTTGGAAGACTCAGTGCCGTGGTTACGTGACTGGAATCCGCCACCACCATTGGCACGCCACTTTTCCGCAGTCGCTGTGACCGGAAGTTGTTTAGCCTGAGAGATCACCAACGATCTCCTCCCCTCCCCATCTGGTACAGCTTCATAGGATCTAGCAAGTGCGCCATCGACTTGATTATCTTTTACCAACGCGGCTCGTGCTCTTTTCTCTGCTCTCGATCGTTCGCCAGCGTAGATAAAAAGAAAATGGAATAACACCTGAATCAGGTTAGCCACGGCGTTTTACGACATCGGCTCCTTGAATTACGATCCTGGTAGAAAAATGGAGATCAGCCACGAGCCACTGAGTCAGCTGATACTTGCTTTATTATCCTGCAACGAGGGAATACCTCTTCGATGGTATCAGCGGCGGATCAATTTTGGACCTGTGCATTATCGAGCTGTGTAACTTGTTCCATAGTTATAGCCCGATTCAGGAAGTGGATGTGCGATCGAGGTGAAACTTGCCAGGGACAGATTGGTTATGGGTATCGGAAAGTCGAGGCGCTGATTGCGTTCGAAGTTTATCGGATCGTTAGGAAGATGTTCTCGATGTGCTTTACGCTTCTGGTAAAGCGTAGAATTTCGATTTCCCGATTATCTCTGCGAATGCGCTAATTGTTTTCTTAGGCACTTGGTTAATTGACACTGAGAAAGGTTTTTGTCTAAGTAGTAAGATACTACTTTATTAAATAGTTTAAGTATATTAAATTAAAATATATTTAGTATATCAATTTTAAAATATATCAAAATTGCAGATAAGTCCGGGTGATGTAATTATCAAATGGGAATTAATTTCCACCTCTTTTTAATGGTAAATTGTATCAAGCTGTATTAATGTCCATTATCATGGTCCTTGTTCATTATCATTTGAAAAATAAGGTAAGTTATGTGTGTAATTGAATAGTCTACTAAAATTTTCTGCTGCTCCTTTAAATGATAATTTACTAACATTTTATCAAAAAGTAATGACTTTTTCGAAATACAGTGTGTTGTATATAGCGTTTAAGAGTTAGTTAAGTTGTGGTTATGATTTTTGCATAAGATCTGCATTACTTCTTTTGTTTTGCAAATCTATGATTATATTTTAATTTTCTGTTTATTTGTATGTATATATATTGTATACATTTATAGATATCGATTTAAGATGTAAATCTTTTTGAAAAAGTGAGTTGATATATTAAATACCAATAATAACAAAGTATTATTATACTATATATTGGACATTCTGCGTCGATAGTACAAGCTAGGACAAGTAATTCTACACGAAAAAATAAGTCAGTGGCTCCTTGTTATTTATTAAATAATAATAAGTATTTTAAAATATATATAAAAAATAATAAATATCAATAATAATAAAGTACTACATAAAAGTACTATACATATAATAATGCAACGTAAGTTACATTAATATAGCTCTGAATTAAAACCTAACCTAAACCTAACCCGCTACTCGTTTTCTCAATTTTCGATTTATCAGCAACCCTCGAGCAAACATCTGCAGGATTAACCAGCCAGAGCTATAATTAACCAAAAATTACGGCTCTGGTTTAGGTTAGGTTTAGGATGCGTGCGGTTGGTCGAGTGTTACGGTGGATTTACACAGGTCTGGGCGGTGTTTCCTCTGCAAATTCCTTGTTGATAACGATGATTTATCGAGCCTAGACTCCCGCCGCGATCTTATTAGCCTCATTATAATGATCAGTCGGCGAGACAATGCGCCGACGATGTATTTACAGAGGAACCGGGGACGTTGATCAATCGGCGAGTTTATTGCGAAATAATTGCGCGCGGCCATGTTGCTTCGTGCTTATGCGACTCTGATATATTACTCTCGCCGGCGGTGTGGCTTATCGGCGCGGCAGGTAAAGCTTGCGAGCTTGAAACGCGCGTCGCGATTTATATTTTCGCGTCACACGCTGCTCGGTTAATTGTTATCAGCCTGCTCGAGCCGAGAAGCACGCCGGTGTTTCATATGTTTCCCACCGAACGTATCAAGCCAGCATTTTATAATTTTCTCTCCTACAGCCCTGTTCCTCTGCTAATCTTTTTCTTTTTTTTTTCGTCAGGTCGCGAGGCAACAGGAAAATCGTAAAAGATTCAAGTTATTTTTCCAAAGATAGAAGCTTACATTTTACAAATGGACACGCGGCAGAAAACAGGGTACTGTCAGCTAATTGAAATCAGTGCATAAAAATTATGAATAAGCGTATCTGATCAGAAGCTGGTTTGACAAATGATTTCAGAAAAAGGACTTTCAATGTTTAGCAATCAAGTCTATATCTGAAATATAAATTGTTATACTACTAGTTTTAATATAGTAAAAAGTTTGTTCTTTGTAATATTTTTATTACATATATGCAAACTTTTATAGTATATATATATGTTTCCTTTAGAAATTGGCTCTTTGTCAGCTAATTGGAATCAATAAAAAAATACAAAAAATTCCTATAAGTATACTGATCAAAAGACTTGATGATTTGACAAAAGACAGAAAAAGTCAGGCATCGATTCTATATACATTCAAAATGTTATATCTTCAGTTGAGGTTGTTTTTTCATAATATACATCTCCTTTAAAAGTTGGGCCTTTGTCCCAGCTAATTGGAATCAATATATTGGAAAATTCAAATAGGTGTATCTGATCAAAAGCTATATCTGACAAATGACTTTAGAAAAAGTCTCTCAGCATTTAACAATCAAGCATCGATTCCACATGCATTCGAAATGTACTGTTGTACCTTCAGTTGAGGTTTCTTTGTAATATACATATGTACGTTCTCTTTCAAACTTCTTTTTACATTTGAAATGTACTTTAATTTTAATGCAGTCTTTTTTTTTTATTATGTACATATATCTCCTTTAAACGTTGGTTCTTTGTTAGCTAATTGGAATCAATATACTGTTAACAGGTTTATCTAATTTAACAAATGACTTTAGAATATTGATTGTCGTTTCAAAACTGTAATTGTACCTGTCAGTTTTGACGCAATTTACATACATGCTATTTTCATGCTACTTGGCATTAACCACTTGATTCAAGCGAAAGTTACAGACACACCCTTGTGAT